GAGATACTATTTCCAATAGAGCCAGACCTCGTCTTTGGTCGTCCCGTAGCTGCCGTGCCGGTCTTGGAGGGACCAGACGTCTTTCTTGGGCCAGTCGTGGCCTTCTTGGGCGAAGTATCGGTGGCGGTTCGTTTCGGTGCGGGTAAACTATTGTTGTGGTTGCTATTGACCGACATAGCGTCGAATCCCTTCATCATGTGTGCGCTTCCAGGTCGAGTCTTTTCATTTGTCAAATTCCGTTCATCGTCGGGGCTCTCGCTCGTTTTCCTCGATGCTCGCTCGAAACGATCAACAGATATGGGCGCTGGACTAACCTTGGCAACAGGAATGCGAGAGCCTCCTTTGTGGCTGTTTGAAGTGAAATAGGCATTGCTTTCCTCCTCCGCAATCTCTTCTGGAGTACGTAAATCCCACGATTCGCCTGCGATCTCGGGGCTTCGTCCTTCGACAGCTGTCGAGTTCTTTCGGGATCTAGGGCCATTTTCCGACGCGTCAGTACCACGGCGCATAGCGCTGCGGCTTCGGTCCCGTCGTTGCTTGCTGTGGTTGCGGGTTCTCGGAACAAATATGCCAGCAGCTTGAAGCTCTTCACTCTCTATCCTTGCCAGCTTGTCGCGGTGAATCCACTTGGAGCCTTCATCAACAACTACTACTTCTCGGTCGATAGGTACCGCATTGCGGCTGTATTCGTCTTCAGTTTGAGGGCCAAAGGTTTGTCCCCAAGAGTTACCGTTCAAAGCCGGGGTAGTTTTGGATTCACTGATGTAGCGCGCTCCCGCTCCGTCAACAGAGTTGTGGAGTTTGGCACTCGAAAGGTTATCGTGGGAGTTCACTTTTCGGCCAACTCGGTCCATGCCCGAGTGGTAAGAGTTCGAGTTACCATTTTGGGTAGTAAAATGGTTCTTTTGAGGATAGTCATGGTTCGTGCCAGCGTTCATGTCATTATCAAAATCCTGGCAAATCATCAGCAATCTCGCCCTGACAAAAATTGGGGTAGCGGCCGTCATGTGGCAACTCCCGTGCTTCGTACCTCCTTCTGGGGCATGTTGTATCCCCACGAGTCTGAATGACCATGACTGCTGCGCGGCGGAGTAATGTTCTCGGTTGAGGTCGGAGCGGGTGCCATTGTGGCCATATTGATGGCGCCCGCGACCTCTCGAAATAAGAGATTTGAGGATGCGTGGAGGGCGGCAAACAAGCGGCGTTTGTTCTGAGATGTTGATGATCGAAAGTGGAATGATGTCGTTGTCAATGCTACCTGAATTTGAGGTAGCAACTATTGATTAAAGGAGAGGTATTGTTCATAGACGCAAGCGGCGGTGCGTATGCGGGTCGGGATAAGTAACGAAGGATCCGGTGATAAAGGGGCGGTTTAGATGGCGAAGAGAAGTCGCTAAGATAACTTTTGGTGGATGGAATAACGGGATAGACTTTGGGTCAGCCAACAATCAAGATATCGTCGTCACAGAGATATCATGGCTGGGACGATGAAGGCGCGTCGGGCTCCGAGAGAGCTGTGCAGAGAAGAGAGGGTAGAACAAGAAGACAAAGAAAGATGATCCATGGGAGATTTCCATGAGGGGGGCTGGTTGGTTAGGCTGGCAGATTGGAATTGGCACTGTGTTGGCGGGCAGCACCTGGATGAAGCCTGCACCTGCGCCTGCACGGCCCCTCAGCCGGGCTAGATCCCCTATTAGCCCCCTGTACGGAATCAGCGAGCTCTAAGTGGGCTTTGACGGAAATACAGCTGTGATTTGACAAGGACAGGAAGAAGGAAAGCTCATGTGGCTACGGAGTAGGTTCAGATGGGATATGAGTTTGACTGATGGAGAGACATTTCTTACGAGGCAGGTTAGAGCTTGTTTGTGGGTGACTTGGAGAGGTGCAAGCCTAGAACCATTCTCCAATACGAGCGAGGAGACATGATTACGCCACGCACGCACGCTTCATGTACAATCAACACAGACCATCCATTGATATCCATAGCATTGACAAAAGAAAAGCTCAGATAAAAGCATTCGTTCAATTATAGAAGGCCCCCAGGCCATCATACATACAGTCTGCGGTAAGCCCGCCTCAGGGAGAAAGAAAACACCGAACCCTCATATAAGGTGTCAAAACAAACTCAGCAAAAGATATCCTGAATTTATGCAAATTTACCCAAGTCTTTTTGTCATCCAGGATCAAGGTCCTGAGTTTTCTTTCCTCTCCTAGGCCCTGTCCCCTTAGTTGCCGCCGCCGGTTGTTTCATTCTGATTGCTCAATGGGCAAAAGGGAGAAGCTCGCGAGTGGAAGGGGAATAAATCAACGTTTCCCCTGATGAGAATAAGCCGCGCCAGGGTTCAGGAAGCCACCGACAGGGGCTCATTTGATGAGGCCGGGTCTTTTGTTGCTTTTTCCTCACCTGTGAAGCAAGGAATTGCTTGGTCACGCATCATGCACCACAAACGAATCTTAACGTTGGAAATAGGCACGGATACACGCTCGCAGCAAATCATCGAGCCCTCTTGTTATTATAATTCATCTGATATGGGGAGAAATCGGCCTCTCCTAACTCAATGAGTTGATACCGAGATTAGCTTCCCTCCAAAAGCCTGGCCCGTTGCGCTGGGAATGGAACGTTGTCAGCTGGCCCTGTCGATGAATTGACAGGGGATGTATTAGCACCTACGAATCAATGCCTTGTGAAAGCTTTAAGTTTCTCATTAAGTACAAGGGGGGAAGAAGCAACGAAAACAACAATAACTGCCAAACGTCACAATCTCCGTCCAATCCCCAAAGATGAAGTCATTGCGAGAGAACAAAGAATAAAAGCAAGAAAATGACAAGCAATGCCTAGGTACCTTAAACGAGACGGGAAGAAGTTGGCCGCCACAAGGTGAAGAGGTTGCCATTTAGGGTCCTTTTAGTGCTTCTAGTGCTCATTAGCGGGACACTGTCTGTGCACTGTACTCTGCTTTTGACACGGTCCCACAGAACTCAACGGCACTTGTTTCTCCAACATCTCGGTTCATTATCGCAGCCTCCGTCACTGATAAAATTACGTAGCATTCTTTTTCCTTGCTGGCACCATCATCCCTTGTTGATTCCTGCGGCGTTGTCTGTGCTTTGACGTTGACAGTTATCCGCTGCGATAATACTCTTCAGCCTTGATTTGGTGTTGAGTGAGAGAGAGCCTCCATTCATTGATCCACCATCATCTGCGCTGCATCCTGCACATCATCCTCGCATTCCCGGGCACAAGCGAGACGTTGAACCTCAATTCAACTCAGGGACGACAAAGAAACTTCAAAGCGTGCTTTGGACGGACGCTTCCGTCTCGGAGCTACACTAATCTCCCCTGCAGTTGGAATCTCAACAACTTGACATGGGTTTGTCTTCCATTTTCTCAATGGGACCGAGAATTTGTCTTAGACAACTCCGCAATCGCATGGCTGATGGTCTCCATCAAAACTCATTCCTCACAACTCACAAACGCTAGCATTTACACTTTCGGTTCCTGAGTTTAGACAAAGTCAACCAAATCCTTGGGTTCAGTTCAACGTTGGAGTAAACGATTTCCATTTCCGTCGACGCCATGGCAGCTGTCATGAGGAGAAGGACCAGAATCGTGTGTATCTCAGATACCCACAATTGCCAGGTCAAGCTCCCAAAGGGTGATGTTCTCATTCACGCTGGAGATTTGACCAACCGAGGGAGTCACGCAGAGGTCTGTAGTACTGGCCCATATGCTCCTGATGGTCATACAAAGCACCGAGGCTGATCTCTTTTCAGCTTGCCAAGACAGTTGCTTGGTTGGAAAAGCAGGACTTTGAGGCCAAAATCGTCATCGCTGGTATGCCTCCTCATGGGACAGTGTAGCAGCCTCTGACTGTGACCATCAGGAAATCATGACCTTACTCTAGACCCAAATTTCTACGCTGAGCATGGTCTCTACTTTCACAACAAGAATCCGCAGTCTCATGACGAGTGTCTACGACTGTTCACGTCTTCGCCTTCGATAACGTACCTCTCTCACGAATCAACCACTGTCCGCCTCAAATCATCATCGGGGCCGCGTACGCAATTCAAAGTCTTTGGATCGCCTTTCTCTCCACGTTTCGGGTTATGGGCGTTTTACTACGATGCTCCTCAGAATCCCAGCCACTGGTCAGATCTGACGTCGCTTTGGCAGTCCATACCACTTGATGCAGATATTGTGGTGACGCACACGCCTGCAAGGACGCATTGCGATGAGACTGATGAGCGTCGCGCTACTGGCTGTGAAGCTCTTCGACAGGCGCTTTGGCGAGTGAGACCACAGCTTGCTGTCTGTGGCCACATTCATGACGGAAGAGGTGCTGAGAGAGTGAGGTGGGATCTCAGTTGTCGAAATGTCGCCTATCAAGAAGAGAGTGTCGTACGCTGGCAAGACCCTGGCGAATGCAATAACAAAACCTGCCTCATAGATCTGACTGGGAAGAAGGCCCCGTCTCTTGCTAACGATGGCTCCCATCCAGGTCGATATGGGTCAAGTATGAGAGAGCCTGACGTAACGGACGTCCGTCATTTCGTTGACTCAGCAGAAAGCTCTCTATACAACTTCGGATCTGGCTCAGCAGATATACACGCCTCTCATGGCACTATCGGATTGGGAGGGGATCCCGCCTCACCACGGAGCGACCAGGAAGCTCTCGCTGGGAGGATGGGTCGTCGAGAGACGTGTGTGGTGAACGCAGCGATCATGAAGAGTCGATATCCCCACATAGGAGGGAAACAGTTCAATAAGCCCATCGTAGTAGACCTAGATCTCCCCATCTGGGAGGACGAGAGCCATATCGAAGCCCCGTGATTCGCTCCCCGCTTACCCTAGACTCAGGCTCGTGTTGATGCCCAACGAACCGTGTTGGGAAAAGAGAGATGGCCTCAAAGAAAGACGAAGCGAGAGCTTTCTTGATAAGTTTATTGCAGACGGTTGTGGGCTACTGATATGTTTACTACGCTGTGACGCACCATCTGCATTATGCTGGATCGGGATGCAATTGATCGATATGGTGGTATTCGTCGTGAACCAACATTGGGTAGCTTGGAGTCGTAGTCGGATCCAACGGATGAACTGTAATGCAGTCGTAGTACATGAACGTGGTCCCAATGGTTGTTCGAGGTGCGGAGGAGTGAGAGCTAATTGAATCTTCAATCGAATTAAAACCTTGTTCTCATCAATGTATTACGATGTCGCGTCATGTATTTGCCATGTAGTGACTCGTCTTTAGATGGCTACCCTAGACTTGAGCTGAGGCCCACGATCAACTCTCAGACTTCAAGGAACAGGTCCCCAACATCAGGGGATGATCAATCGCATGAGCCAGTCACGTACCTTTCCCACCAATGCTAAAGCTGGCATCTACTGGATCTTGCGGTGAAGCCATTCCCCTCCCATTGAGACGCCAAGGAGACAAAGAAATCTCATCCCTTGGGACATGAAACAAGACCAGTCCAACGATAATCCTCCGCGTGCCTATAGCATTGACATCAGTCAAAACCTCTCCTTGCTCAATCATGGTCGTCCGAGTTACAGAATCAAAAAGGGATCCAATCCAAACAAACAAACCAATTGAGCCTGATGCTGCAGGGAGCCAACAGGGCTCCGCCAAGAGGGGCGCCATATCCTCACATTTCATTCCTGCTCACCGCCAGTCTTTGTCGTGATACCCTCAGCCCAATAGCGTGGCTTGGGAGCCTCGTGTTTTTTCTATCTTGGGAGCGGCGAAGCCAAGCATTCTTGTCTCTTTTGAGCCTGAAGCCTGAAGACTTTACAAGAGCTAGATCAGGTACGGTAGTTCAACCCCGCGTTTACCGCTCGGGAAGAAGCAAAAGAATTTAAAACATGGCAGACGATGATCTGTCCCGGTACAGGCCCTTGAGGCATTTGACCGACGCGGGTGCAGGCGGGATGTTCCCTGGAGTTTGGGAGGTCATTAACTAGACGCGTGCGAGGGGTCATGACATCGCCAATCGCGGGATCGCCAAAGGGTATCGGTATCGATCGAGCTGTAGAGTTGGTGCCAGATGGATCAAGTTTACAATAACTAAGGTATACTATGTAGAACATTCTTGGGCTCACATGGTGGATATCGTCAATGATCCAGCTTTGTCTCTTCAAAACTTGGAAACCTGATCTTGACACAACAAAAAAAGCCGGATCCAAGAATTTGACGTCTGGTAAAGAGCACACCCACGTGGTGCCTTGCCCTCCATCGCAAGCTACCGAACAACGTCAAGGAACTCGTGCCGGGCCACACGCTTGGATTTTCTGGCCCTAACGTCAACCGTATGATCGTGGTACGTCTTGTATGTCATTGCGCTTGAGAGACGAGAACGACGGCGTGTCTCGCAAATGACTGTCGTGGAACGGGAATTCAATGTTTGTATTCTCTGAAGCTTCAGAGGCAGAACTCTTCTAGAACCTTGCTGCCACTCAGGTTTCATCTCTCACTCAGCTTGTAGCTCTACGCAGTAAGCAGCCGCAAAGAGGTACTTTGGCGCTTCATCCCAGGGATAAGCCTAGAAGCCCGGGCCTGTGATCCCCAAAAGCCACATGCTGCGATCAGATTCAAGCACCGGCCTTGCCTCGAGACGGCTAGATAGCTCTCGTGAGGAGGGTCCTCTATCAATCGTTGCCGTCTGCTATACCTATCAGAGACGTGCACCCTCCACGCTCCTTACTCAGTTGGGAAGCAACCCCCTGGACAAAACTGTCGATGATCTTCCCTGACTTTCGCTCGTTCTGGCGGTGGCCCTGGGTTGGCTTTGTCTTTCCCCAGGTTGGTCTTCTGTTTGTTCAGATGCCCGGCTGTAACCTGGCCTGATACGGAGGCCTGGAGAGTCTTACGCGTGCTGAGCTGATCCTGATCTTACTGACATATGGAGGAATGTGTGATTTAGCCTAGAGCTGAACAGTCCATTTGGGAAAAAGCCCTCATTCAGAGACAGAGATGCTTATCTTGATTGGTCGGCGTATCACAGAGATGTGATCAGATGCAGAGCCCGTTGGCGGCCCCGCCCTCTCCCGAGATGGGGGAGAACTATCCAATCACGTACGAGACATCAGGCCTTCTTTTTCTGTCCTTGTTCAGCCCAACGGCTTCTGGGCCATGACGCTGATGACCACGAGTCTCTGATCTGGGGGAGCATCTGACTATTTGATCGTTCATCGGGAATGGAAAGAACATCATTAACTTTTGTAGTGGAAACAAGGTGATTTGTGGTTCGTTCACTCATCACAGCTCGTCACACAGGCGCTTATGAGTGGGAAAATATAGGCGGGATGTGATGGATTCTGCAGCACCGTAGGACTCGAGTCTTCTCTTGGATGGTGTCATGCAGAGAAACAGAATGCCCCTCACCACCATCTTTGGACATTTCCTCTCTGGTTTATTGGTCTTTGTCAGCTTGTGTCCACTACCTCTCTGCAGGTCCATCTCCTATCGGATGAGGAGACCATAGAGAAGCCTTCTGCAGGAATGCTCGTGTGTCTGGCCGGTGTAGCATCCGCATCATGATACTGTTCATAAAGCTATCACTCCACATGCGCTTCACCCGTGGTTTGCTCATCGTGGGGGTATCTCACTGTGGAGGCATCTCTCAGCGTTTCTTAACCCTTCACCGAATATCTCGCTCTCGAATTCATCATTGTTTATTATCATGAGCCTCCAGGACATTGATCAAAAAGCCATAGCAACGAGATTCTGTATCCACAGAGAGCGGGCTGCAGGGTGAAGCGAGATTCTAAGAACGTCGTGCAACTTGGAAATGCAGGCCTCGTGATGCCATGGCCTGCGCCCACTATCACTATCCGGCACCACAAGGGGTCTCTATTCAGGGATGTCTGCTGCAGCAGGTCGCCTATTGCACTAGATTGATGAATAGAATCGCGCGCTACCAGAATTACAAACCCATCGTGGAGATGGTCTCCGTACCTTGCTGGAGCTTCTAGCTGCATCGTTTGATCAAGCGAGCTGAGCATCAAGCTAAAAAGCTCATGGGATGCTGTCGCTATAGTGATTACATGCAAGTTTCTTGAAGCAATTGACCGCCGCATGTATTCTCCGAATATCACCAGGGCACAGCTAGGGAGCTTGGCTTGTTCTTAGCTCCAGAGCTGTTGAGAGCTCAGGACGTCGATCCCTGGAGCTCTACACACCGAGTAATTGATCGACGATCTAAGTTTTTGTTCTCGTGGTGGGGGAATCATTTGCACTTCATGCCATCGTTCTCGGTGCAGGCATGATGCTGTCTTGCAATTCATGCCCAGATGGCCTCAGCGGTGTTCAGCCCAACGAGGAGCAAGCCAGTCAGCCCATAGATGTTGGTGATCCAATGAGATGGGGTGAGAGAACTTATCGACTGTTGAAAAGTGATAGGTCGTTGTTTGGGCTATGTATGTTTGCATTTTGGTCGTCCAATCTGAGAGAGGCTCCAATACACAAAGTAGCTTCACTTTGGTGTCGAGTTTGCCCTAGCATCGGTCCATTCTACCCTACTCTGCTTAGCCTCATGGAGATAGTTTTCAATCATTAGGTATTCAGCCTCGCTTCAAATGCTGAAATAGAAACCATCGTTCTCGCTCAGCACCGCCTCGTGTAAGCTCTTCAGCTGGCTTAGATACAGCTTTTGGTTGCTAAATTAGAGACGACACGCCAGTCATCAGCCTCACCGCCTCTGGCTTCGTCCCGCTCCCTCCCGCTTCCGTTCCCCTCCCGCTGGGCATCTTTCAGCTACCGATCGGGATCCGTGATGACCGTCCGTCGTCTGCAGTTAGAGGACCCGTTTCATCACGGGGGTTGATGAACGCCTGAGGCGTATCATGGGAACCGATGTTGCTTTTGCTGGGCCGATTGCATTGTCAGGATGTTCCTGGGCTGATACTTACAGACAAAGAAAGTTTACGGAGTCGTCGGATTGAGCAATGAACGAGCCAACTTTGTAGTGACATCTCCACTCGGACCCTGAATTGAAGATGGATGGATGATCTGGTGAGACCCGGAGCATCGGATGCCTCACCTCATCATACATGAACATTGTGGCTCATTCTTACGACGTTCGCACAAGCTATTCATCAGCTTTCATCAGTTACCGCGGGCTCCGAGGTAGTAGATACACCTTGGATCTGAAGAGATTGATTCAATTGAAGGGTCTTACTCGCCACTACCAGCCACTTCGATTAAAGAGGTACCTTTGTTGGAAGCTTTGTGCAACCGAAAAATCAGGTACCGAATTTTCGTACACCACCACGGAATCGCCTTCTACTAAGACTGATTGATTGATTATTCAAGGGGAACTACGGATGGATTCTTTCGGACATGGAGATTACTCAAATCCTGTAATTGATTGATCTAAAATCCGACACCGAATCTGACCCTGCATCCTTGAGAAGATGATCATAATCATGCTCAATCCGTTATTCGTTCTTCGGCTCACACTGATTCATCGCGCTCCGCGGCCGATTTCTCAGCCATTTCACGCAGCGAAACAGTGACGCGGTACTTGAGCGATAACCTGACTCACCATACCTGGTACACTTAGCTCCGTAGACCTCGCCACTGAGATGCATGTACCTCGACGTGTCTCGACTCGTAAGACCGCGTACCTCTTGCAAACCGCGCCACAAGCCCACTTGTCATTGAATCAGGTCTGCCAGCGAGCCATTTCAGTGCAAAGGGGCCCTAGGAGGCCGTACAATTGACCACTAACGGCCGGCGGACCTCTCACTAACCCGGTATACGTGCGGGCTGCCAGCAATTCCCGTCTGCTCTTGGCTGGACCGGGACTGGGACTCTCAGAGGCATTCGATGCCCTTCCATTGCCGGCTTTTCTAGCAGGATTCTCCATCGCTGCTACGCTACGCTATTCGCCCGAGGCCGCATTGCAGAGAGAAATCCCTTACCAAGCATCTCGCTCCGGCGTGTCAGTTCACTTGGAGAAGCTAGTCAGCTCATGATAAATCGCCATCGCCGCGTTCTCGAAAGGGGGCTAAGGGGGCGAGTTTTAAACTCCTGAAGTCTCTTTCAAGTCTCTTTACGGGCTTTAGAATCACAATTAAAGTAAAATCAACTCGCCACGTTCCTGATTCTTTGCCTTTTGGAGCAAGGGACGGAATCCCCTCACCCAATTGTTTTCCAATCTTCCATCGCAACTCGATTCTGCTCACTCCACCAAGAGATACGTACCATCGTTGCTCAAACAGGAACCTCAGGCAGGAAGTTCTTGGCACAGAAGAGGTACTTCCAGTTACAGCTTAGAAAACACCCAACCACCTCGTTACAAATACACGCCTCGCGAGTCAATCCATTTGTCTTGATTAGTAGACTTCAACTTGTCTGATTGACTCTTTTTTAAAACCAAGCTATTCAGAGTATTTCAGTCAAATTCATCAGGCCAAGTGACTCTTCGAGTCCCATAACCAAGTCACGGCTCACAAACTCCACCACAGCGAGACCAGACCACGACGGGACCGACTCCATCTCAAAGAGGGACTAACAAGTACCTACCTACGCATCTACGGCCGCTTACACTCTACAGCACCCCTCAGGGGACCACCTTGGACCAGCAGCGACCACTAGCAGCAGCTCAGGACCACGCACCACCAGACGACACAGGTGGACCG